CTCTGCGGGAGAAAGAGGTGTGCCAAGCTGCAAGCAGCAGGCTGGAGCAGCAGCCGTGGGGAAATTGCACAATGCAGGTGTTTAGTCAAGGTACATTCAAGTCCTGCATTTTGTAACTAGGCCTGCCTCAGTTTCACGGTCACGAAGCCACCATCTTCTTTATAGAAATGTGAGTGCTGTTTTTGCTGCATGAGCAGCTGCAACGCCCATGGAGAGGGCCTCAGAGCACTACTGTCCCTCACCAATGCTCTGCAATAAATATGAGAATGTGATTCAGAAACTACGCACAACTAGTAGGGAGCTACTGTGGCTAAGTAATCATCACTGGGGATGTTTTGGCTTTCTAGTAAAACGGCCTTCAGTGGATGATGCAAACTCATCTACTGGCAAAACCCATTGCTTATCTGCCCCCTGGTTGGTGGATTCTGGATCCCTTGGAGTGGTGGGGGGAGGTTGGGGCATAAAGCAGGCATGTGGCCACAAAGAGATTACCACTCCAGGGAATTCCCAAAGTGCATACAAGCTTATCTTGAACAGAGCTACTGTATTTCCTCTGAGCCTTGACCCACCCAACCAACTAGACATATCTTTAGGCAGACAAAGTAGTTTACAGATGCAAGCCTCCTAGCCTCTGGGTAAATATGGCAGTTGCCCTGGGGTTCAAAGCTTCTCCAAAAGATGGACAGTGTCCTGTTAACCCCAGCCTTTCAGGCTGAACTTGAGAAGGATGTAACTCCTATTTCTTGTGCAGTTCTGAGAAAACTGCTGCCACTCCTGCCCTGTGCTGGGTGTTGTGCTGTATTCTTGAGCCCTTCTAAAGAACTGCCTGTGGGCATTGCTTTGATGTGTGCCAAGAGTCAGGGGAGTAACTACCTCCCATCAAAGTCTGTGCAGAGTGATTCACAGAGCCAAGCCAAGCAAGTAACTGGGCCTTTCTCCCTGCTTCTTCCAAAGCTCCAGCCCATCTGACTGCTTAGCACAAGAACTGGCTATATTGGCAAATGTGAGTGAGGAACCTGATCTTTTCACATCCCTGAACAATCATCTCTTTGAAAGCAATTCTGCTGCAACTTGTGCAAGCCTCCTTAGAGCTGTGGTTTCAGATAGTGCAAGGAGCAGAGACTGCACTTTTGATTTGTGAGCATTTAGCTCTGTGAAGGAGATGAACAATAAACAGAACAGAGAAATTGCCAACTGCCGCAGCGGGAGTTGGCCCAAGGATCTGCTTGGGCTCGTGAAGGATTTACAGAGGGGTCCTGGTACCAGGCCCTCTGAAGGAGAGGGGATGGAATCAGAGAGCAATACAATATAGGAAATTCTGAGGTAGCCTGGTGATTAAAAAAAGACATGGCGATCAAAGCTGAAACTACGCAGAGCATGTCTAAAACCAATCCTTCAGACAAAATGCTGTTTGTGGAAAGCTTTGAAGAATGTAATTACAAGGCTTACAGCTTAAGAGTTTCTGTCATTCAGTCAGAAGCTACTATACGGTCACCAGGCAAACATTTTCTTCTCTTAGTAGCCTCTCTGTATCATATTAGTGTGAGCTTTTACTGGCTTAGCTTGGAAATGACAGCTTGAGAGTTTATTTTATCACTGTAAAATGGGTAATTGTTTAGGAATGAAACAGCAAATGGCACATCCAGATCACAGGATTCAAAGTGGAACCTTACCGGAAACATTTGATCGGGTCTCCTGATCTTTGATGAAGAGGGAAATGACCTTTGGATTTTGTAAGATGACCTTTGAATTTATGTCTTTTTTTAAAAAAAAAAATACTTTTGTTTTTCGGAGTCACAATTCTACTAGGCCATGGGTTTTATTGTAGTGCTGCTATTCATCAGCCTGGAATCCATGACCCGGAAGGAAGGATGTCAGTGGTTGTTCAGAAGTATAGAACAAACTTCCCTTCAAGTCAGAAGTGAAACTTGATCCTTGTAGCTTGTCCAAATCAGCTCCAGGAAAATATGCTCCTATTTGTTGAAGCACGGCAGCCTCCCCATTGGCACCCAACATTTTAGTAAACAACAAAAGCATTTCACAGATAAGGAAATCGCTGAGCCCCATCACTATTGTGTTTATGGAGCGTAACTGCTAGCAGGAACAGTGATATTCCTGATGTAAATATTTAGTTCCAATTAAAGCCCAGATCAAGGAATTTATTTTTTAGACATCACTGAGCAAAATTTGAATTACACAGAAATCTTAATGAGAGAAAGAGAACGGGAGATACTGTGTGGTTTTAAATACAATTCTGCAATGGAATTTGGTGAAGCTTTTTAAAAAATGGTTTTCATCTTCCCCTTTGCCCTTCTAGCAAGACTTTTCTTCTTTACCCACCCTATCCCAACGTGCAGTTAACAAAGCTGAGGCAACAGCCCAAATTAGAGCACCATCTGACATTGGTGTTGACTGTGGAGAAACAAAGTCCACCACCAGGTGTGGAAGCCTTGAGCCAGGTCAGCAAACAAGACAGGAATGCAAGATTATTTGTTCCAACAGCCGTGCTTTAGGATTTTGGCAGACTTGCACCTGTGGCAAAATTTCAGTCATGCGACTTAATGTGTCGTCAGTGCAGGCATCGACTATAGAAAGCGATCTGGACAACTTTGGGCACGACTGCAGCGGCCTCAAGCTGCAGCAGTTTGTTGGCAACTCGTATCGGTGAAATATTATCTGAACCCATATGAAGGGGTTGAGTTCCAAACTTCAAATTGGTACGTGCTCTGGAGTGCCATAGCTTCCTGGGAGTCAGCACAACTGAACATTTCCCCAAGTCAGGTACAAAAACTATCCCAAGATTCACAAAGGCTTTCATCCAGCTGGGGACAGCCACACATCCAGCTAGCGTAAGTCAATCAGCAGAGACCTGTGTTTCTTCTGTGATCAATTCTAGCTAATCAAGTTGCTTTAACTGAAGAATATCATCCCAGTCAGCTTAAATCTGATACTACAATTAGACAATGACTAGCATTAGACTGGAGCAAATGTCGGATGAAGTGACAGTCACAGCAAAAGCAGCGATGACAGCAGTTATGCACACCATTGTCAGAACTCCTTCATGAGATAGTGGGTTGTTTTTTTGGACGGGGTGATAGTCAGAAAGAGCACTGCATTTCCGTTATATTCTGTTTATATATTTTAAATGTTTGTAGTGTTTTCGTTTTAATAATAACTTGTTTTTATAATGATTTTTATATGTTGTTTTATTGATTGTTGCACATTGCTCAGAAACGCTTTTTGTGAGATGGGTACATCTCACATCACATGTAAATGTGATTAATATAAATAGATAAATGCCACTAAGTGAAAAGACTGCCTGCTATATATGTATACTGCCTCAAAACTTTATGTCAGTTGTTTACTGGATGGGTAAGATGAACTTTTATCCTAGAGCAAGCTGATGCAGCATTGGCTTGTTTTTTTCCATTAGCTTTTCCCAAAGTAAGGAAACCCTTACTCAATGTAAAGCTAATTGCTCCCTAATAAGCATTTTTGTGTTGCTTATTCTTATTCTTAACGTATCTTCCTATTCAATCTCTTAGTAAACTACTTAGAATGGAGCTGGATTGGGGGAAGGGAAGAAGAGAGGGTCAGAATGTCAAATTGGGCAAAGCCAGAAGGGTCTAGGTCAGGGGTGTCAAACTGTCGGCCCACCCCATTGCCGGCAATGGAAAAAAAGTTGTGACACATCACGTGACGTTGCGAGTTTGACAGCCCTGGTCTAGGATAACTCACTGCGGCTAATTCGGTGCAGCCATCTCACCATGGCCAACTTGCTGTGGCCAACTCAGTTCAGCCATCTTGCCCTGGCCAACTCACTGCAGGACAATCCATGTGGGATAACTCAACCCAATAAATGTTATCCGCCACTGTTTCTTCTACATCAGACATGTCAAATTCGCGAAGTCACATGATGTTGCGTGATGTATCGGAACTTTTTCCCCATTGCCGGCAATGGGGTGGGCGCGGTTTCGTTGTGATGCATTCGGCCCACGGGCCGGCAGTTTGACACCCTTGTTCTACATTATCTCCATTTTTGTCAATGGAAATAATGTCGAAGAAACAGTGGCAGATAATATTTACTGCATTGACTTTATCCGATGTGGAATTGTCCCACAGAAAGTTGGCTGCAGTGAGTTGTCCCGTGGCAACTTGGCAGCAAGATGGCCACGGCAAGATGGCCACGCTGGGTTGGCCATGGTGAGATGGCCATGGCGAGTTGGGCATGACAAGTTGTCCCATTCCAAAGTCAGAATGGCAAACTGAATCGGAATATTAGGAATAAGCTTTTGCAGAAAAGCTGAGTTTTTCCTTAATATTAGGACTAACCACATCTGTGATACAAACATCCAGACACTCAGTAGATAGAATTAGTGACTTGAGAGTTATCTGTTTCTCTTTGTTATCATCCAACAATTATCTGGGGTTTTGCAGCCCCAATATAAAAATAATCCAATCAGAGTTTGCTCATTTGGTTTAACTAAAATGTTTCTAAATTGTCAAGTTTGAATATGAATATATTCAAATCATTTGCTGCATTTCGTTAGGGATTTAAAGTAGGTTACATATTTTAAATTATATTTGAAATCATTAAGGAAAATGCTGTATTATTTGACCCAGTGTTTATATTTAAAAGCAATTATAATTGAAACAATTCAGAAAAAATGCTTAAAATGAATTCACTATCTTACCATATGTAATTATGCTTGAATAACTTATCCCTCAACTATGACACTAGGTCAAAATTTAACTTCCTAATATGGGGTGTGGGGAATAATAGCTTGCATGGCTTGTGCCAGTAGTAGAGTTAAAATGGTTCTATAATTTTGATCTAGGAGTAGTAATTTTAAATTATTCTTCCAATTTGCTTTTAAAACAATAGCTAGAAGGATGAATATGTTGAATTCTCTACTCCACCGACCCCAAATAGATATTTTGCTCTTTAAAGAATGCTTTCCTTCTCATTCTTCTACAGCACACCGGAAATTCAGAAAATGTTATATTTCTTTATTAGAAAAAAAAAATCAGCATATTTCTAGATGTTTAAAATGAAGCACTGGTTACAAGAAAAGAATATCCCCGGAAAGGTCCAGATTATTTCATTTGTTTCTTTTGTATGCAAGTTGGAAGCCCGTGATTTGGGACCTCAGCAAAAACTCATCACACAATACACTTTGTCAGGTGGTTGCAGTGATGGGAGGGAAGAAGCAATCACAAAATGACCTTTTCTACATAGTTAGCAGGATACAGTCCAACCTGACCGGTCTGAAGCCGACCTTTGCACCATCCCTGTTCATCCTCTTCGCTGATTTTCATGAGCTCTTCTCCTGGACAAAGAGAAAACATCAGCATTAAACGAACAAAGACCTCTTTTCGGTGGTTCAGATAGTCACATGCACAGCAGCGTATGTGAGTAGGTAGACCCTCAGCCTAATTACATGCATGCGGGAAGCCCCAAGGAAGGCGGGGGGGGGAAAGAAGATGAAATAGGAGGTGGTGTAATAATGACGCTGCAAGAACTATGTATCTAATCTGTCAACAGCCCAAAGGAAAAGGACCTTGAGCGAAAATAAAGAAAAGCTGAACCTGGTCTTTGGGGGCTCCAATTCTGCCAAATGCCCACCTTTTCCCCAAGTGAATCTGCCTCCAAATATGCTAGCACATGCTCAATTCTTTTCACATAAACAATTTAGCCATCTTCTCTCCATATTGCTTAGTTCAGATTTTAGCCCTTACAGTATACCACTCAATGTGGGATGGCCAGGACTTTTAATGTTCTGCCATTTTGTTTTCCTAGCCAACACAAAAGTAGGTGTTATTTTCTGTATTGCTAACTACTGTTTCTCCTTCTTCTTTACATTATCGTGGATGGATTCAGGGGACTTACCTAATTTTGCCTATTTTCCATTTCCCCTCTCACTATGTATACCAGACAGGAAACATGACAAGATGAATGAATTCTACTTTATTGTAAGGCTACATTAACAGAATCTTGAAAGTCTGAAGATACAAACCTATCACCTCTACTTTTAACTACTTGATCCATTAGGGAGGGTCGTTCCTAATTTTCTTTCTCTGGCCATTAAGTGACTGTGTGTTCCTGCTTCTCTTGTCAGATTGTTCCCTAGCCACCATCTCTTCCCTTCTTTCCCCAAGTTCATGAATACATCAGGTTAACATCAAGATGCCCACAATTCATGCAGTTCCAGTTTTCAACTTGAAAAATAATTAATACAAAAAAGTAGGGGAAAAGCACATAACAGCAAAATAAAACTTTAAATAAAGCAGAAATACAATATTTCTAACATTCAGATGGCCCCAATGGGCACTCTCTTCAGTCTGCCCTCGTATAAAAAGGCTGACACTCATTTCTGAATGGGAACTTATCATCAAACCCAACACGGAATTGATTAAGCATACAGACTTTTGAGTTTAACGATGTGGCAAAGCTGTGGCCCTTAGGAATGGTACTGTAACCTTTCCATTGCATTACTCATAACTACTCAGGAATGCAAAGAAGCAGAAGTGGGATAATGTTTAGCTTATCCTGTCACTGGGAGTAACAATGGCTGTCTCTTCTTTGGGTGAGGCACATAGTCCCATACAGTGCAGTTATATTAACGGCTACTCGTTTCCAGGCATTGCCAGCTGCTGCTCAAAGATGTCTGTGTCCAATTTTTCATGTCGGCAATAGGCCCGAGCTTTTATTTCTTTATTTCTATTTTTTCTGCTATGAGCAAGAAAAACATTCTTGAATAACAGAGAAACATGGGTCATTTGGTATCAACACCGAAAGGAACACAAGAGCGAAGGACATGACCAAGCTATATATATAGGATGCCTCAGGAATAACAATAATTGTTTCAGATGTCTTTAAAACAAGCCTATGTCGTTTGAGAGAACCTGAAAATGACATTTATTTCAATTGTTTATTGCCTATCCTTTCTAGCATGTAAACTGTTTTTTAATTTTGATGTCTTTCCTCCCCAGTTTCTAAGCAAACTCCTATAGTTCAATTTTATTTTTTTTCATGTCCACTTAGCGGAGTCTTCGGGCCATCTAGATCTTCCTTGCTGTGAAGTGTCATCCAGCAGCCCCAAACACAATGGAAAGCATGTTAGAAGGTTAATGCATTTGTACCTGCTTTAAAGCTCAGTTCATCAGCCTCTTGTCCTGCGTAATCATACAGTGCTCGCACTCGCACACCTGGTACCTTTATATCTTCCTCATGCCCATTGACCTCCAGGCACTTCTTGGGAGTATCCTCATCTGACCACTCTGAGATTTCTTCTTTCCCGCCACTGTGCAAAGAAAGGGAGAGTGGGTAAAATGAGTAGGAAACAAAAGGTAAGTTAAAATTCACTTTTTGAAAGTATCTCTCCCCAGATCATGCAGTGTTCTAGAATGAGAATAAAGAGGCAGATGTCACAAGACGAAAGGCAGAGATACTGTGGAAGTTACTAAGGTAGAGAAGAGAATGGCAGATCATCAGCAACAGCTCCTTTCCAATAACCATGATGACCAATTCTGAAAATTAGCGTCAGGCTTTCTTATTTGGACATTCTCCTCATTTACAGCTCCCAGAATTGCCAGTAAGCATTGGGAATTGTAATGCCTACACATCTGACTTTAACTGGAGGGCAACCACATAATTGTTGCGATGGTGGACATTCTCATTTGCAAGAAAGAAGAGTGTGCACTGGGCTCAACTGCTTAACAATAAAGCTACATCAGAAAAAAAAGTGAGACAGGGATCCTTAAAAGTCTTAGTTTCATACTAACTTCATACAGGCTGAAGCTCTCAGGTTGTCATAGAAGTGGCTGTTTTGTTCCTCTCGATGTGAAAACCTGTGGATTTGCAAATAAGCCCTTTAAACTGGAAAAGAGATAAGACCGTGCCATAATCCTCTTCTTCCAGGAATATGCAATTAAGAAAGCAGACTTTGGTACAAAACTACCAGATGGAAGTACACAATCTTTTCTAAGAACTTCTCCAGTATGTAAAATTGTACCAACACTCAGTTTTGTAAACATGTACCAGTAGCATGTTTGGTGTATTCTCTGATCAGATTTTAGATGTACACAACCCAACTGTGAATCCTAGAATGTCTGTCACCTATCAACTTTAGTGCAAGTCTAATAGGTATTGTTTGGTTGTCTTTTCTATACAAGATGAACTGCTCCAAGAAAAGAACAATCTAAGAATCCAGTGCTACTGACATTCAGCTGGAGAATTTTTTTTCCTAGATTCAGCAATAGGTGGAATAAAAATTCTGCTAAAATCTTCATTCAGAGATCATCTCAAAGAGATTTTCATTCTTTCAACTCATCAAGCAAGACAAAGGCATTCCATGCAAATTCACCCTTCAATCCATTAGTTCAACCGTTGCTTTCTAGTCTTGCTGGACTGAACCCACAATTTTTCATTGCTGGAAATTCCTAAGAGCAACAGGTTCCATATTACTATGCTGGGCTAAGAATTTACTGCAACATTGGTGCAGAAATGACCTTAGAAAATATGGATTCGATTAAGAAGGATTTAAAAAATATAAGCTGTTAAAAATGTGTACTCTGCTTCTGAGAAATAAATGATACTGGGTTCCCTACTCAAGAGCTGGATGCAACAGTTGCAATTGTTACCTCTGTTTGGTTGCTGGAGGGGTCTCTTTCACACCATCTCCTGCAGGCACAATGCTGGTCAGAGTGACATCTTCACCACTTTTGCCACTTTTCTCCTTGACGATTGCCCGCTGTGCTTCCAGAGACCATTCCTGGCAGTGGGGAAGAATAGTCCTTGAATGCTTTCTGAATATTGAACATAGCTGACTAAAGTACTTTCCCAATTCTTACCTTCTTGGCCCTCTTGCCTGTCCCGCATCGCCAAAAGTGGCACAAGTCAAAGAAGACATGGAATGTGACCTTTGTGTGTAACAAGTCTCTTTTTCCTCCCTTTGGAATAAACTTAGAATGTGGTACCTTCATATCCCCCTCTATGGGGAGAGGGAACTTCAGATTAAGTGCTATGTTTTATGGGGAGGGAAGGGACTGCTGCTTATTCAAAAGCATATGCCTTGCATGAAAAATGTCTCGCATTCAATCCCTGGCATTTCTAGCTGACAAGTCTAGGTTCTGTCTCCTTCTACTGCTCTAAATATTTTATTCTTTAAAAGGTTTTCCATAGGATGATAAAAGTGTAACTGAAATTAATCAAGGACAAGCTCTGTGATAACTTCCTCTTAGACAATTGATAGTCTACCTCAAACTGAGGCCAGTTCATAGCCATGCCTGGTCCATGGGTACTGCGCCACCACTTCAGATCCTCTTGGTCATCTGCTGCCATTATTCCCTGATGCAAATCTCGATAAAGTGCATGGAACCTGCAATTAGAAGATACGGACATCAATCACACAACTTTTTTTTACAGAAGAGTTCAGTGTGAGGAAAAAGAGGTTATGAAAAAATTGGAATAACTGTTGCTAGTGCAGAGAAATATGACCTTTTAAGAATGATCTTCCTCCAAAACCTTTCCTACCCCACAGAGTGTTATCAAGGGCATAGAAGGACTCACTGCATGTGCCTTCAATTTCTCACCTGTCATTGACAGACAAGTTCAGATGGTTGTGCATATCCAAGAACATCTCTTTGAAAAAACACAGACGTCTGCACTCTGCTTCCTGGCAGCCTTCAAACATCTGCTCCATGTCCTCCATGTAGCGAGGATTGTAGCGGTTTAACTCCTCCAGCATCTTCTCATAATGATCCTTGCTCTAGAGGGAATCCAACAAAATAGAAATAGCACTTGTATACTCCCCACAGTGCTTTACAGCACTCTCTGGGAGATTTTCAAGACTGGAATATTGCCTCCAACAATCTGGGTCCTCATTTTACTGACCTCAGAAGGTCAACCTTAAGCCCCGTCAGGATTGAACTCCAGACTGTGGGCAGACTTATTCTAACCACTACTCCACTGGGGTTTATTATAATTTGCTTACAAAATGCAAGCAAAAGAACTGGAAAGTTTCCTACACTTATAAAACTTTAGAAATCTAACTAAACTAAATCAGAACTGTTTGTTCTTTTGTGTTCTAGGAAGAAATACCAAAGACTCAGACTGAACCCATTTAGCATTTTAACATTTTCTCACAGGTTGCTCTGGCAGTTTTATAACAGAGTGTTTTGTCTTTCCGGCTTTGCTTTATACAAAAGATCGATTCTAATCTTCCACTTACTTTAGGGGTAACCTAGATCAGGGCTTTTCAACCAGTGGTACGGGTACCACCTGTGGTACATTGGCACCTGGCAGGTGGTACACGACCATCCTAGAAAAGTGGTAGCGGGGGAGGGAAATGAGCTGAACCGGTGGCAGCACCGCACAAGCCAGAGTGAGAGATGGCTGGAGCTGCAGGGCTGTCAGGGCTCAGCGGAAGCGCCAGGATCAGTGCTGCTTTCCAGCTGATCGGCGCTTCTTCAGAACTGTCAGGGCTCAGTGGAAGCGCCAGGCTCCAGCTGGAGCTTGGCGCTGATCCTGGTGCTTCTACTGAGCCCTGAAGAAGCACCAATCAGCTGGAAAGCAGCATTGATCCTGGCGCTTCTGCTGAGCCCAGAAGCACTGATCAGCTGGAATGTTGCAGCATCTCCAGGGTCTTGTGATTTACATTCAGATTCTTGGCAACTGATTCATATTTATGACGGTCACAGTGTCCCAGGGTCATGTGAAGTGACCAAAACCTGCTGCAACCACCCAGCAGGCAGAGGGAATAAAAATCAAACACCCCCCCACCCCCGCTGCCAATCCCCAACAGAAATGCTCACAACAATGAAAACTCAGACAGAAGGAAGAGCGCCACCGGGTGGGCAGGCAGGTGTCTTGCTCGGCTGTGGCTTGGGGGGCACTTTTTTCAGTGCCATTGTGATTTCAAACAGTCACTAAGTGAACTGTTGTAAGTCGAGGACTACCTGTACTTTATCACTTTTTTCATTTTGGGGGGGGGTCATCAAGTTTTTGACACCTTGCTAGGCGACTGGTGGTACTCAGATGTTGCCATATCCTAAAAGTGGTACAATGGATGAAAAGATTGAAAAGCCCTGACCTAGATGCTCCTCACAATGGAGCCTTCAACCATTTCTCTTTAATCTTTATAAAGATTTTCCCATAGCCAACAACAGAACCTCCCCAAAAAATCTAAACCCTAAACATCATAGGGGTGGGCTACTTTCTCTCTAGCCATGGAATTCTCTGCAGAATCTATACTCCCAATTTCGGATTAAAGACTTTCTCAACTAAGCACAACCTACCTTCTCCGCTTCTTGTGAACATTTCTCCACTCGTTCTTGCAGTTTGCGGAGCTGCTCCTGGGATGTGGAAGCATCTGCTTTGGCATGATTCTCTCGTGTCTGTGCAGTTTTCTCCTCTTTTCGAGCAGCATGGTAATTCTTTTTGGAACTTTCCACCTTCCCACAGATACATTAAATATTACATCGGTCATTTCAGCAGAGTTAGTTTCAGCATGTGGTGACAAATAACATTATTTAACAAGCAGCAGAAAACGTTAACTGCCATTTGATAATTCCTTTCTTTTCCCACAGGGCCAAAGACTAGACATATCCATTTGGCCAATTTCAAAATCAGATTACATTTTAGCAATGCCTCCCTAGGAATGTGCACAGTAGTCTATATCACACATCTGTCCTGTCAAATTTAGGTAGAATTGTGTGACATTCTTTTTAAAAGGGCTAGGGAATTTGCATTATTTTTCATGAGACACTTTTCCGTAATCTGTGCCATTTTGTATGCTGTTTTCCACCAAATATTACACTGACCTCTGCCACAACTTAACTGAATTAGGTCCAGCAATGTAGGGCCAAACATTTACAGTGGACTGAATCAACTCCTTATATTTTTCAGGATCCTAAAGATGGTAAATCTCCCAATTTTCCCTCCACCCATCTTCAGGTTGCACATCCAACTCACCTCCTTTAACTTTTTCACCCAGGGCTTCTGGGCCTTGCGAAATCCATCCTCAACTTCCTTTGTCTCTCTAAAGCCACCGATCAACTGCTTATGAAAGACTTCCTTCTGCCAAGCCTTGATCTTGTTTGAGTCTTCACCAGCTAGACGATTCCGTACTTCTAGATGGATCTCGCTAAGTTTGTCTGCAGCAGTCAGAAATGCATGCCAGGCTTTTTCCAAAGTGCCATATTGAGGTCCTAGGAATCAAGAAAAACAGTATAAAGATATAACAATACCAAATATAAAGGAAGTAGGTTCTGAAGCCAAACTTCATCTGTTATTAAAACATGTATCCTACAATGTTTAAAGCAGATAATGTCCATGGAGTGAAAGCTGTGTGGATGTGTATGGGTGTATATGTAAACCAGCATACTCAAGTGTCTGAGTGTCAATGTACATAATGGAGTTAAAATTGCAGAAGAGAATACAATATGCACCATTTTAAGCTGCTAGAGGAAACACAGATATAGATCTAAAACACAAATAAATGTAGAATATGTTAACAATGTCTTGTTTAATTTCTATTCCATAAAGATCTAACTCCCACAAACAGGAATATCTACTACGTATCAACCTGATCAAAATTATATTATTTGTACTGGCAACCTGCCAACCTGTATAAAGTCACTTTACTGTCTGTCCACTGATTATCACTCACAGATTTCAAACTTGATGGGCTCTTGGCTTCTTATTTAAGTTAAACTTCAGTTGCCTATTCAAAAGCCAGTAGCAAAAAGCCATCAACCATTTTCATAGAAGTAGCAGTATCAGCTCCTCCAAATTCATCCTGCAGATTTTGTGAGGTGTTTATCTTAAAACTAAAATGCTTCATAGCTTTCCTTGGTTTAACAAAGTTACTTCTCAGAGGACAATTGGAAAGATTTATCCATGAAAGATCAATTCTTTCTAGAAAAGCAGGAAGGGCATGCTGCATGTCCCATCCACTAGGGAGTCTCACCTGATAGAACCTAGGAGACAAGCGTTTTCTGCTGTGGCAGCCCCCCCTCCCCAACTAGACCATCATCCCTCTTGAGGAGGGCCCCAACCCTTCTGACCTTCCAGAGAACTCTTTAAACCTGTTTTTTCCAATAAGCCTGGGGTTCCTCTGGTGAAAAGAAGCCTGCACCCTGGTTATGTTATATCCAGTATTTCCTCTGTTCTGATCTTCCTTCCTTTAGTTCTTATCTATGTTTATTGTTTAACATTGAATATTTTAATTTTGGTTTCATTGTTGGGCCACATTCTCCTTCTATAATACCTTTTTCTACAGACGTCCTCCATTTGCGGGACCAATCTGTTAGCTGTTGAGCGTAGCTCTTCTCAATTTTGGCTCTCTCATGGAAGCAGGAGACAAGGTCATTGCACAACCGGTTTCCATCATCCACCCGCTTCACTGTCCTCTTGTAATTGCCAGGCTGAAATTAGACCACAGCATCAGTTACACTTGCCCTCATCTGAGATTTATCTTAAGAGTCAGAAGAATGCATCAGACTCCCCCACACAACGGGCAATGCTTGTGAGCTGTAGAATTATTTCCAAGTGTCGTAAGCAGAGATAGGCAGCTTGTGTATCACAGTCACAAATGTCAAACTGTATTATTATTAAGCACTAAAAATGGCACGATCATAAAATGGTACCATTCAAAATGGCATCTGAATCACCTGCTCTAGGCCTGCTGCTGCTGCCTTCAATTTCTTCAAGAGGAATGCAGACCAGGAGACATTAGTTCTTCTACTAGGATTCTCCCCAACTCTTGTGGAAGCAGGACCCTACCTCTCATTTACTCTGCTCTTACCTCCCAGAAACTGCCACCGGGAGCCTCTCCGCCGGTATCATCCTCCGCTGACATCACTCTAGTTTCTTTGCAGCACAAAATGTTTGCAAACTTTGATGCTCCTGGAAAAAAAAAACCCAAAGAAAGAAATGTACATGAATTATAATATGGCAATTCAACGACAGGTTGAAAGAACAAAGTCCTTCATTGCTCCCTAAATAGACTAGCCCTAATTTTACAATATAGGCCAACTATCCAAGGAACACAAATGAGACAACCTCGCGTCTTTTCTAGAGAAGCTTCATTTATGAGTATTACCAATACCATCTGAAGAAGGCATCTATTTAATGCCAAGAAGGGTATTAATTACCTATAGACCAGTGTTCCCAATGGTGAAAAGATCTGAAATAATGCAGAGTCAGCTTGAGACTCTTTGAAAATGAGGGGAAGGAGGTGTGAGTGTGCATTCATACATGTACTGTAGGAAGGGAGCAAATGATATTTTTGCATAGGAGGAATACATAGATGTTTACATAGAATACATTTAACTCTAACAGATAACAGCAATCATTTTAAAATTAAAAATGATACTAATTCTCCCTCACTGTTCCAGTGTTTTGCACATCCTACCCATCACTCTCATGTCTCCATATATTCACATGGGAATTCAGAGTTGTGCCATTCAGCTACTTAAATGTAACAGTACCTTAGGGCTTTGGCATCACATAAAGGCCACTTCTGCTAGGACTACATAAATAGCAGAGAAGTCTGGGAGCCATAATGTAATATATAAGGTCATCTTATTTCAGAAGGCCAATTTTTTAAAAAAATGCAATATACATAGCAAATGAAGATTTGTTCTGAACTCCACCATCTCTTTGACAATTCCCACTACCACCTAAAATATCACAGCTCATTAAAGACTAACATGCATGCTCAAATGCAGCTCATTGCTCCATGTACATTCCAGTCTATAAAAAGTTCCCCCACACCCTTCAAAAATATCCACTTGGCCTCAGGCAAGGCAGGAGTCTCACAGGACCAAGAGTTTTATTCTCCCTTCTCTGCAGCAATGTCCTCCATAACAGGAAGTCTTCCTTGAGAAAGAGACCCCTAAACAGGTAAGAAAGTTAAAACCAATTCAAGCTGCCCTATCAGCCTTATCCTGTTGCATTAAGAACGCATGGCCCTTCTTTTAACAGACGCTGTCATTCAGCTGACCAGGTGACTAAGGAAATTAAATTCATTTGCTGAGCTGGGCAGAAGACTCAGACACACCAAATGGCCTAAGCATTTTGGTTAAGAGCTTCACATCTCGGAAAGCAACATTCCCAATGGTCACTATCAGCTACATACCAAATGCAAGACCAATGCCAGGGTGAGCAGGGAAATCTTGGGCCTCTTCTTGATCAATGTGCTAGGAAAGAATAGCATGAACATGACTTTGCAGCTGATTCAAGTTGGTCTGATTTAAATACACCCTTCTGACTGTATCAGTCAGGCAGCTAAAACAACCCTGAGACCAGAAGGAGCCAAGACAAACTTGGCTTGTCAAGTCAGCCAGGACTGGGATTGTGCCAGGCTCTTGCACCTGCCACAATTAATCCTCCTTACTTCCTCCTCTGGCACTTTTTGCAGCAGGTATTATTATTTTACATTATATATGTATAATAATAGTATATGAGGGAAGCAGCCCAGCCACATGGATCTCTTACCAGTTGCCACCTGTCCAGTTTCAGAAGCCAGGGGTAAATGAGCCATAAATTTCAGGCATGGGAAGGCTTATGTGGAAGACAGACATGGGGTAGTACCTAAGAAATCAGGGTTTTTTTTTAAAAGGCAAGTGGGCACAGCCTTGAACTGTGTTGAGAAACTGATCAGCAGTCAATAAAACTGTTTCCAAACTATTGCTTAGGAACAGTGCAGCTGCAATTGCAAGCATTTTCTCCCATCGTTATTAAACTGATGTCTGAAGTCCAACCTGAGGAAGAGTCCTCTAATCTAATGAGGCCTGCAGAACTGGAAACCTATAAAGAGAGCAACAAGTCAAGAAAAGAATGCCAAGGGAATGGACTATGTTGTCCCCAGTCAAACAACGTCACCGTATGTTTCTGGATAGCCTAATGCAAAAATGACATCTTTTCTAATGGATTATATAGATTTGATCATATAGAGCAGAGGTGGGAACTATAGCCCTTTTATAGCTTGTGGACTTCCAACTCCCAGAATTCCTGAGCCAGCATGTTCAACTAGCCCACTGGTATTTTTTAACATTGTTGAAATCAATTCAGAGTAAAGTATTTGGTTCAACCTTGCGTTCTTTTTGCAAAGTGAAGGAAAGAAAAGTACTATATCAGTGGTTCTCAACCTGTGGGTCGGGACCCCATTTGGGGTCGATCGACCATTTCATGGGGGTTGCCAAGCAAGGCTGTCCGCCATTTTTTTGTCCGCCATTTTTTTTGTCCGCTATTTTTTTCCCCTTTTCCAGCGGGTGCCTTACCTCCCTTGGGCTGGGCCAGCTGGTGGTCGGCCTGCTCCGTCTCTGTCGCTTGCCAGCTACGCCTTGGCCAGCACAGGGGGCGGAACCACGCATGTGCGGCGCTCCCGGGCAGGGAAAGTCCTCGACTTACGACCAGTTGGGTAGTCCTTGACCTACGACAGGTTTAGTCCTCGACTTATGACCGGTTTAGTCCTCGACTTACGATTGGTTGGGGTCACGGCATTAAAAAGGTTGAGAACCACTGTACTATATAAAGATAGTGAATGTTTGGGGATAAGTGTTATATAGAGAAAACTCATTTATTTAGGATTCAACCAAGTAAACAGCTATTCATGAGGCTGATTAAGATGCCTCTCTACAGTTCTGTGTTAGTTCATATGCAGGGGATATTCCTTTTCCAACACAATCAGGAATCTTTATGATTCCTTTCACTCTTAAAAGAATTAAATCCAAAAACCATAAAAACAGTCAAACAAACTAAACAAATATCATGTGATTATAAAAAGTGAAAAGTTCCTTGTTTGGGCGAAGAGAGAGGATTGTCAAGAAGGTGGGTGTCCTCAAAAATAGTTTCAGTGTCCTCCCGACTGATGGTTCATGAAAATGGGGATGCCTCAAGACATGATCAGCAATTACATGGCATATATTGAAACTTCTCCAGTAACTAAAAGGACTAGAAATATGCCTTGAGAAGGCTTCCCTAAAGCTATCCATGAAAAAAAAACAGATAGCTGCATAAGATTGCTTAGCTGTGTCTGGTTACATGCCAGAGGGGCAATAAAAAGACTTTCCACCCATGATCAAGGGACCAGATTGACTATCTCACATGGGGGCAGAGATGGAAATAGTTGAATATTTACGGAACAGCCTCAATCTATTCCGAAAGAAGGCTGAGTCAGAAGGCAGGTATAAAAAAAGCACAAATATCCTAGCAATCTTCCACATCATGTCGTTTTCATGTGAGTCAGCAAATGGAATTTTTCTTTATTGCCTAGGCTATTAAATGAAGTAAATATAACATGTTATTATATGGGAATGCACCGGAGGAACATCTTATTAATCACATTTCCAGATACATGGTTTATTTGTTATGAATTAAACTATGTCCCGTATTAACAAATAACGCTGCTTTAGTGACAAACCTCAAGACGGATGAGTCCAGCTCCCTTTACATTTTTTTATTCACATGTACTGCAGGTATAGAAGAAGTTAATTTTTTGTAGAGGATCACATTACAGGAAACCTGCCCCTCCTGGAACTTTTTCCCCTCTCTCATGTGAACTTTGCATCCTTTAATGTGCTTCTTAGGAACAGAATCTCTGAAAACATCCAAATGCCCTGAGAAAACTTTGATGAATCAAGTTAAATAGCTATTGGAGCCACTAGACTGCACACATAAAGGTCAGCCTGGTGACTCTTGGAACTCAGTGATACGAAGCAAATGCAACAGCATCTCCCTGTTTGTGTTTCTCACCAACATACCAAGGCCTATAGAAATATTGCCTAAGACCTTCAGCTCTAGAAGGAGTTGGTTACTTACAATTTTCTGATGACCATCAGAAAATTGTCCTTTTGCTCCTTATTTGTGAGCAGCTATGACTCTATGTATGCACCGTCAAGGAAGCTTAGTTATAGATTATCCAACTCTATAGTATTACTAGAAACAGAGTATCTTCTTGGATATTTTTTTTTCATTTGTGTTCAATTGTGTCTGATTCTCGGAGAATGCCTGGACAACTCCTTGCAGTTTTCTTGGTAAGATTTTTCAGAAGTGGTTTGCCATTGCCTGCTTCCAGGGCTGAGAGGATATGACTGGACCAAGATCACTCAGCAGGCTTTGTGCCTAAGACAGGACTAGAATTCATGATCTACTGGTTTCTAGCCAGATGTCTTAACCACTACACCAAACTGGCTCTTTATAGATTTAATGAAAATAGAACCTCTTCTTGGTACTGACCCTCAGATGCCAAGGTATTAGAAAAATGTACTATCTGAGGTCTCCTTGTCGGCAATAGGCCTGGCAATATTATTAACCCCAGTTTCTAAGCCACCAGCCCAAGGAAGCTGGTGGCAGTAATAAAAAGCATTATAATGATAAGCTTTTTTCAGAGGCACACTCTGGGCAGATATGAGAAAGCAACAGGAAAAGAAAATAGTTTTTATTAGCTGTAATAAAATTCACGTTCTTGGCATATGGAAAGATATGTGTATTGAGTGCACGTGTGTCTAAAGCCTATAAAATGTATTATCTGCATGGTGTTTAAGAGACTGATTTTTAAACTGGGGTACTTCAGGCTGACATATTTTTACATGTGAATTAAGTAGTTGTTATCAGCTTTTCCTTTACACTCAGGCCAATTCTTCATTCACTCTAAAATATCGTAACTCCAATGCACAGTAATATAAATACTGACATATTGTATAATGAATAATGAATCCTAACATGACAAGACCTCTTCTAAACCGTTATCTATAGGCACCACTATGGGTGTGCTCAATCTTTTATGACTTCTTTAGTTACAAAAGACTCTTCTTATGGTACTATTAACTTCAATGTGAACAGATGTCATGGAAATTAGTGATTATTTATAGAGATACATAGAAAAAGTGGGCATTTGGCTATTGGAGTGTGTTTGATTGTATGCGTGTATATTTGGAGGATGTTTCAATTGGTCAAAATGCAACTGAAGGCCAGCATATCATTTTTAGTTTTAGGAAATCTATATACCTTACATTTTAGACCTACACTGCTATAATGAACTGTAATTAATAAATGAATTTAACTTAATACCAGGGGTACATAAGACTCAGTCTTTTCCAAATCAGCAATGATTCATTTCCTAGCTCACAAATCCTTTGGAGGAGATAACTAGTTAAGAAAGAAACCAAAAATCAGCATTTTCTGGCTTCTTCCTTTGAATTTATACCTCTCCAAACTGCCTAATCCAGTTTAAAAAATTAGTAAGACATCTAACCACATAAGGACATAATAGTAATGATATTTCTATAGCAGAAACATTATAAGTCAGAGAACAGTCAGAACTTCTATGCCATACTAATTGTTAGCAGGGATGTCTTTACAATAATTACATATTTAATCAGACTGAATATGCAATTTTGAATTTGGAAGCTTATTTCTATCACAGCAAATACAGCAAGGTAGTCAGCAGGGGCCTAGTTTTATAATTATGCATGGATAAACCGTGCTAGGATGGATATCTCTAACTAACTTTATAGTGCTTTAGCCATAATTTCATGTATTCCCCCCCCAATGTTAGATATATATTTTTTCCATTGTTTGGGGATATTATACTTTATACCAGTGCTTTTTTTCTTTTAAAAAAAAAAAAAAGGTGCTGGAACTCACACATGTCATACAACCTGCCTTGCCTACCCTACAAGGTTCCATCCCAAAAAGGTGGTGGAACTCCGTTCTGGGCGTTCTATGAGAAAAAAAGCCCTGCTTTATACTATCAATATATTTTTAAGATTGAATCATATTATAAAAAAGAAATTAAGCTATTCATATTTATAGCTGTAATCCTTCAAAATACCAAGGACACCTTTCAGTTTGCTTTCTAGTTAACAGAAAGTCCAGTGAGTCTCAATTACTGGAATAATTATTGGCTGCACTCTTCCTAAGATCACATTAAGAGGGCAGGGTTTTGATCTCTTCTAGATCTGGAATTGATGCCTAAGAGAGCCAGTTTGGTGCAGTGGTTAAGGTACCAGGCTAGAAACCAGGAGATTGTGAGTTCTAGTCCCGCTTTAAGGCATGAACACCGGCTGTGTAACTTTGGGCCAGTCACTCTCAGCCCAACCTACCTGTGAAAAATACAAGGAGGTAGGAATATTAGGTATGTTCACTGCCTTGAAATACTTACAAAAGCAATAAAAGTGAGATAAG